CAAACTTGTCGATCACAGCATGCACTCTTCGTTCAATTTCTGACTTATTGTGTGCAAGGTGCAGAATCTACAACCACAATTTTAAGATGTTATATCAGCCAGGGAGCTATGGGATCAGTGCACCTTGAGGCATTAGTGAGGCCAACTTTACCTGCTCTGGGGCTCCTTTGCTGACTCTGTGCATTTTACCATTACTGTCCAAATATGTCAAGGCTGTCCGCTTGTCAGTAGGATTAAAGGGGAGAAAATGAAGCTCCTGAACTCCAGCGCGTGCCTTTAGGAACAAAAAAGGAGTCTCAGAACTGTAACCAAAGGAGAAAGAGGGAACTATAACCACATTGTTCACATACCTCCTTTGGATCAGCCAGCATATTGACGATGGCTGCATCAATTGCATCTTGGTTCTCTGTTCTTGAGGCTCGAGCAGCCATCAAAACCACAGTATCTGCATCAATTCCCTTTGCAAACACCTGGAATAGGAGATTGCATTCGGGTACATAAGAATCCGGCAACTAAGTCTCCATAGCAGATGCTTCAAAGAAACATTAGGCCAACTGACCTCAATAAGATTCTTGTCAACCGTAAGTTTGTTCAAAGTCAATGTTCCAGTCTTATCACTGCAAAGCACATCCATGCCTGCCATCTCTTCGATTGCAGTCATTCTCTTTGTGATAGCTCCCTGGATAGTAATTTGAATGTTCCACCACATCAGAATTCCATTAAAACTAAAAGTTAAAATACGGAAACTCTATTAGCAATAGAGTCAACCGGGGAAGGAAAATAAAAGGAACATCATATCATACCTGCTGAGCTAGTCTATGAGCACCAATGGCCATCGTTACAGACAAGACAGTCGGCATAGCTATTGGTATTCCTCCAATGAGAAGCACAAGAAGATTGTCAATCCCGGGACGATATTGTCTATCTTGGATGGGGTACATGACAATAATCTCTACAATCATTCCAACGGCAATTGAGCAAATGCAGAAGTTTCCAATTGCTGTCAACACCTACATTGCCAATTAAAAACGAAAAACTTGTAAACAGAATCACAGAATAAAAGAAACAGGAGCCCTTCAAAGTAGGGATCTTCCTTTCACCATGTCTAATTTTACTTGCCTTTTGGAAGTGTCCAACTTGGTTAGTTGTGTCCACTAGATGTGCTGCTTTGCCAAAGAAGGTATGAACGCCGGTGGCAATAACCACGGCTTCAATTTCTCCTTGTTTGCAGGTGGAACCAGAATATATACCATCTCCAGGACCTTTTGTCACGGGAAGAGACTCCCCAGTGAGAGCAGACTGCCAAAAGGAAAAGACCACACAATTTCAAAATTTGAGCATCCAACTATGGAAGAAACTGTAGCAAAAAAAAAAAAACCTACGGCTACTTAAAAAGCAAACCTACCTGGTCAATTTTGAGAGGATCTCCTTCTAGTAGTCGAGCATCAGCTGGAATGATGTCTCCAAGTTTGATACTGATGATGTCACCAGGAACCAAAATTGAAGCATCTTGTTCGCTCCACCTCCCATCACGAAGCACCTTCACACACGCAAGAGGGGGGGAAAAAGGAAGTCAGCAATGTTTCACCATTCTCAGTTTGAAAACAAGATTCTCCACAGAACAGAGTATACCTTGGCTTTGGGAGCTAGACTAGCCATGAGAGCGGCGGCCGCATTACCAGCATTGTTCTCTTCAACAAAACTTATAGTGGAGTTGATCACCAAGAGCGTGATAATACCAACAAAATCTTGCCAATCCGGAGGCTTTCCCTGAAAACAGCAAAGCAAGATAAGAAGAAATTTAGTTTAAACCAAAGAAACATACACAACAAAAAGGAAAGAAACAATGGCAGCAACTCACTCCTCCGTTAGCAAGAGCAATAGCCATGATTGCAGCTGCCTCCATAACCCATGACAAGGGATTCCACATAAAACCCAGGAACTTGAGGACCTTGCTCTCCTGGAAAACCAACAACGAACAAGAGTGGTTAAGACAAGGGCGTTTTCAGAACTGATTAGCAGAAGAGAAGGGGGAGGAAAAAGAGGTAACCTTTTTCTCCTCAAGTTTATTGTGCCCAAAAATTGCAAGCCTCTCATCAGCAGCCTGAGTTGTGAGACCTTCCCTGCTACATCTCAGATTCTCAAACACTTCTTCAATGGGAATGTTTTCCTGCACTCAAGAAGAAAACGCCAGAAAAGCTTCAAACTTGGAACCCCCTAGAACAAGAAACAGAACCTCCAAACGCAGGGTTCAAAATCTTTGCTCAGATCTAATTACCAAATCCACAGTTTCCTTCAACACAGCCTCCAAAACTTCAGCTTTCTCCCCCTCCGCCATCTTTGCCTTCTTCCCACTGTACTAGAAAACAAAAACCAAAACTTTTCAATACACAACCACCATGAACCATGAAACAGAGATGGGTTTGGGCTCGGCCACGAGAGAGAGGGACAGGAACAAGAGGTGTAGAGAGAGGAATGGAACAATACCCAGTTAAAAATGACAGAATTCTAGGCACGAAAATAGTGAGAAAAGAAGCCACCACCAAATCCAAATCTGCAAAAGAAGGGAAAGCCAACCGCTCTCTAATAAGAGTGTGGGCAAAAAGAGTGTTGTTATTAAGAGTTGCAGTCCCCCACAAACAAATGTCTGTACTTTGTATATCCTTCCTCCTTTCTTTCTCTGCGTTAACCCTTTTTCCCCTCTTCTCTAAACTGCAGGTGCAGCGTTAAAAATTCCTTTTCAGCAGAAGAAAAGAAAGCCCCTGTTTTTATAACTCCTTCTCCCCGCTCAAGCTCTTCCAGAAAAAAGGCCGCACCTTTCTTTCCTTAATAGGACAGCTCGTCACTTGGGGTTACGGAAGGGAAGGGACTCCTCCTAGTCTAAGTCTTTTCTGGTGGACTATTATTTGACAACAACCTTTGTTGTCTGCTCTGTAAACTTGACTATTATTGGATTTTTTTTCTTTTTTTTTTTTGCCTGCTTTCCTTATAGGAAAACACAAAACAAATCTTCAGTTTTGAAACAAGAGCCATAATAAACAAACCCGATTTTGTGGATGGAGGCACCGAACTAAGATTATATGCCTAAACTCATTAATCCTCTCCACATGCACCCACCACCACCCATGCCTAACCTCTCTTGACTCTTTTTCTTTTTTTGGGTGAACCACCTCTTTGTTAGTGTTGTGGTATATGATCCACGATTGAACCTCTCCCAACAACTCGAGTTATTGGGATCAACTGGTTCTTGACATGGTATCAGAGCCTTCTGTGACCGAAAGGTCTTGTGTTCGATTCCCGGTGACCCCCATTTGTCAAACACATGGTATTCTTGTCTTCAGACCTGTGCAAACTTCAAGCCCTTGTGAGTGGCTTTCGTTTGAGGGGGCGTGTTAATTAGTGTTGTGGTATATGATCCACGATTGAACCTCTCCCAACAACTCGAGTTATTGGGATCAACTGGTTCTTGACATGGTATCAGCGCCTTCTGTGACCGAGAGGTCTTGTGTTCGATTCCCGGTGACCCCCATTTGTTAAGCACATGGTATTCTTGTCTTCAGACCTGTGCAAACTTCAATCCCTTGTGAGTGGTTTTCATCAACTTTAATGAGAAACTATTATAAATTTTTACTTTGGGGAAATTTTTGAAGTTAGTGAGAAACAAGATCAAGAATACGAATTCAATCTGATGGGAGATTATCGACACGGTAGGATGTTGTAAACCAACCCTATAACACTTTGCTCTATGGGACTTCATTGCTGCTAACAATTGGCCACCCTATAACTTTGGGGTTTTCCCCTTCGCAGTGAATCTTGACTTAGATTTTGGATCTTTACAGAAACAGTCCAACTCTCATTAATTATTCTAATATGTGCATTAATTATTTTAATATAAAAAATGGTAACGATTGTTTTCAAAACCTTCTCTAGTAAAAAGTTCCTCATAATGTTTATTTGTTATTTTCTTTTTACATTGAACTTTCTAGTAGGACGCATTGACCAGTAAACATGAAAATTGAATATTGAGTCAAAACTTTACCTCATGGCTCATAATATGAATCCTCAGTCAAAAGTGTAAATGGAAAGTTACTATTCCTTCATTATTAAGCTTTCATTATGAAAATATTGAACATAGAATCAAGTATATTGGTGAGATACCTTGATCAACATACTTATAAACTAATGAATAATAAAACTTGTTCAATACAGATGAAATGGGTAAATACAATTTAATAGCCAAATATTTTCACTTAAAACAAAATAATAGCCAAATCTTTTCAAAACAATTTAATAACCAAACCGTTAACTTTCCGTCTAGTCGACTGTTAGTTGACTCTGACGTGGCCCAATTGACTCTGACGTGGCAGATACACGTACACGTCAGCTTATATATTGTACTTTTATCATTTATTGTAAAAATAATTTAATTATAACTAAACGAAAGGAGAAATTGTAAAAATCGACAGTTTCCATAATTCAATCATTTGTACAACTAATAATAAATAAAAATAATAAAACAAAATATAAGCTGACATGTACAAATACTTGTCACGTCAGAGTCAACTAACAGTTGACTGGACGGAAAGTTAATGGTTTGACTATTAAATTGTTTTCGAAAAGATTTGGCTATTATTTTGTTTAAAATGAAAGGTTTGGCTATTAAATTGTATTTACCCCAGATGAAATCGTTAACAACAATGAGTCGTGAGTTGACAATTGTACATCATAGAAACAAAAGATTAAGCATAAGTAATATATACTTAAGTAACGGCTAGTTACACTGTTTGTCATTGACATTGCCATAACCTGCCTAATTAAAGCCCATTGGTGGTTACCGAAACTATTGCAAAACAAACAGTTCAATGTTTAATTGATGGATGTATCAAATTATAGATGAATAGGCGGCAACGTACGGCAAGGCATAAAAATGTAATTATGAAGGGACAAATGTTTTGTCTTTGTCATGATTCCACCTGCAAGGAAGTTGGTTGGTATACAAGTAAAATCATTAGCTCATCAAACCAAAGTTAAAGAAGCGGCTAAAAGCCTAAAACATCAATCGTCTCAAATCATAATCCAATTACATGATCCCAAATGAGTGCACCCTCAAAGTTAGCTAAAGCTGGGGCAGGTACATTCATTCAGCATTCAGGTTGCGGGACAATTGGATTGTGAGTTCAACAAGTCATATGTCAATTGGGTTATGAGTTTATTGATTGAAAAATAGTCGGGTTATGGATCAACCTGCTTATGTGTGAATCGATTGAGGACTGATGCGTCAAACAAAATGCAGGTTATTCATTTTCTTTTTTGTTAACCTGCATTCTAAATTTCTAATCCGTATGCCTACACCAACATTCACCTGCATTCTGAATTCCTAATCCTGATGCATCATTGACTATAACAAATCTGCATCAAAGAGCCACCACCTGGAGATAACGTAACCCTCTCTTCTGAGCTCTGGAACAAGGAGAGTCTCCAACAATGAAAATCTCAGCAGACTCGGGGTGGCTTCCATCACAAGCAACAAACATATGAGTCGCTTTTGTCGACATCAACCCAGCTGTGACCCGGCACTTTCTGAACTCCTCTTTCTTTCATCAATTGTTCTTATCTTAGGCGCGCTTTATCATTGACTACCATCAACACGAACATTTGCAAGGAGTACATAGTATCCGGGTTTGTTCGTTGGATCTAACTCAAGCATGTAATGTTAAGCCACTTTAGCAAGTTCAACATTGCCATGGACGCGGGAGGCACCAGGCAATGTCACCCAGACACAATATGCTTTCATTCAACTTACCAGCACGGCCAAACATGTCAGCTCAGCAAAGCATAATGTTCCAGTTGGAACTTCATAGGCATACACCAGAAAGAGACTTTCACTGTAGCAAAAGACAGTTATACCTCATTTTTAGTCATATTGGTCTCCTTAGCATCCCACCAGGCTTCACTGGGCAACAATACCAATGCTGAATCCAGTTGACTTATGTTTTTTTTTGTGCCAAAATCATCTATTTTCCGGCATGCAGCATCTAAAGAAGGGGAATCGATAATGTTTTGCAACTTCAGGTCTGCGGTATAAATTTCTTTAATATCCTCTGTTGCATTATCATAGGCTTTTACAACAGCTACAGTCATTGCCAGTTTTTCCGAGGCTGGCAAGAAATAAACAACTCCGTGTCAAGATAGAAATAATAAATTGCATAAGATAGTTCCATGCAAACACAATCACGCTTCAAAGTGGATGGCCAAGAAGGCAAGAATCAAGATAAAGTTATTGGTATGCCTAAATGTAGAAGCTTGTGAACTTGGTCAATGAGCAAAATAAGCATAATATAGCATATGAAATGCATATGGTTAATTAGAGGATCAATTCATGGTTAGAACCATGTAACGTGTTCTTATATAGCAACATGATCCATAATCCTTGAGCTAACAATTTGATTGAACTTGTCAAAGTATTCACCAGAGTAGGACTTTGAAGCAGACTTGTGCAGGTAAGAAATCAGAATATTTTTATTCTTGAATGAAAATGCAATGCCCTCACAAGCAACAGAATAAAGCATAAGAGAATTCAGACGCACCATTCTGTTCAGCTTTGTCAACTTTATATGACTGTACCACACAGTATATAAACGCGCAAAAAAATCTCTTAGTAAAAATCCATCCGCCGCCTAGAAATAATCTCACTAAGCTCAGCTGGCGCCTTCCTGATAGCTGCCAGAAGCTCATTATGCCGCTGCACATCTTCATCAATCTGTCATAAGTTAAACGGAACTCAAATGATGAATTGAGCTAATGTAGGAAATTTTATTTAGTAAACAAGCATATTTTAGTGAATTATCATGACAATTAAAGCATAGTGTTCTCTTCAGAACAAATCTCAAAATAGGAACCAGAATAGGAAAGGATATGCTTCATGAAACCAATATATCTCAGATTATAACAATTATGAGAAGCAGGGGGGACCCACCTCTTTAAGCTTCCTCGAAAGCCTGACTGAAATATGCTTCATCCCAGGACAGCCTCATTATCTGCTCGTTCCTGGCAACGCCTGTAGAAATGTCCCTTTCCCTATTAAAATTAAGCAACCTTCTCCAGTCAGTTGGAGTGGTTATCCACCATGAAGACTTCAATTAGCTTGTTACACACACGAATTCAACCTTCATCATATACCGATACTTCTTTAGGCTCTTCTTCCTGGCCCCCGCGGTTTCAGGCTTATAAACCATAGAAGCAGGTTCCAAAGAATTGGACAATGGTGATTTGTCTCCCTTGTAATTGCTAGGCAATGTTATTGCACTTCGAGCAACTGCAACAATAGAGAGCTTCCGTGGCCTAATTGCATTTACTGCCAAGTAAGCTGTTACATCCAAGAAAATTCCTAGTCAGACCTACTGAACAGAAAATGAAGAAAGTGGCAAAAGGGAAAATGAACAGACTAACCATTGAAATGAGGGGAAGCATTGAGATGGCGAGAGGAACGACCCAGGGGAATGAATGAAGAAGGAGAAGCATGGACTCGAGAGCCAATCACAGAAGCGGATGAAGATACTGAGCAACAACTGGAGATAGTGGCACAAGAGGCTAGTTCGTCTTGTCACAAGAGACAACCGATCAGTATACTATGCAGATTAGGCCGCAGACCCGCAGTAGTATCTGTAAGTGCTAACCCAAAATCTATGCTCCAGACAGTGTTACCCAGTAAATAGTCGGTGAACAAGTTGCAAACTTTGGACTGTGTCTGGTTTTATTATTTGTTCACCTGTATTCTAAATTTCTAATCTTGATTCATACACCAAGATTCTCCTGCATTCTGAATTCCTAATCCTGATGCATAATTGACTAAAACAAATCTGCATCAAAGAGCCACCACCTGGGGATGCACTGGAATGTAAGGGTGAGGGACATAACCCTCTCTTCTGAGCTCTGGAATAAGGAGGTTCTCCAGCAATGAATAAATCTCGGCAGACTCTGGGTGGCTTCCGTCACCAGCAACAAACATATGAGTGCTTTTGTCGACATCAACCCAACTGTAACCAGGCACTTTCTGAACTCCTCTTTCTTTCATCATTGTTCGTATTTTACGCATGCTTTTCCATTGACTGGCATCAGCATGAACATTTGCAAGGAGTACGTAGTATCCCGAATTATTTGGATCTAACTCAAGCAGGTAACTTGAAGCCACTTTAGCAAGTTCAACATTGCCATGGACACGGGAGGCACCAAGCAAAGTGCCCCAAACACCGGCATCAGGTTGGAAAGGCATGCTCTTTATGACACCATATGCTTCATTCAACTGACCAGCACGGCCAAACATATCTACTAAGCTAGCGTAGTGTTCCATCTTAGCAGAGATCTTAAATTCTTCAGTCATGTAATGGAAGTATCGAATTCCATCATCTACTTGGCCAGCATGCGCACAAGCAGATATTACAGCAAGAAATGTGACATGATCAGGATGAATTCCAGTTTCCAACATCCCATGGAACAAAGTAAGAGTCTCATCCAGGCAACCGTGGTTAGCATAAGCAGCAATGACGCTATTCCATGAAACCTCATTTTTATTTTCCATGTTGTCGAACGTGCACCGAGCGAGTTTCAAGTTACCACATTTGGCATACATGTCTATCAACGCACTTTGGGCAAACACATCATAATCAACTGCGCTCTTGACTAAAACGGTGTGTATCTGTTTCCCATATTGGAGTGAGGACAAGTCTGTGCAAGCAGATAAAGCAGCAGAGATGGTCACTCGGTTATATGTTAGTCCTTCTTCCTTTCCCATTTTCCGGAACAGTTCTATGGCCTCTGCTGGTTTGCTGTTCTGGGTACAACTAGTGATTATGGAGTTCCAACAAACAGCATCCTTTACATGCATTCTTCTGAAAATTTGGTGAGCAAGATCCAACCTTCCACATTTTGCATACATGTCCATAACAGCACTTTCTAAATGAACATTACCTTCTAATACTAGCCCATCCTTCAGGATTTTGCCATGCAGTTCCTTGCCCAGTTTCAGAGCTGCCAAGCTGGCACATGCAGGTAAGACGCTTGCCATGGTAAGAGAGTTTGGACTCATTTTCTCCTGTAGCAACCACCTAAACACTTCTAAAGCACTATTGGCCTTGCCATTTAGCACATACCCTGAGATCATAGCCGTGGACATTACCAGATCGATGCTGCTGCTTTGGCTATAAATCTTGTAGGCCATCTCCACATTCCTACACTTACAGTAAATGTCAATAAGTGCACTTTTCAAGAAGACGTCCAAACTTATACCATGCCTAATTATATAGCCATGAATTTCCTTTCCAAGCGAGAAACTCATGGAGTCTGTAACTGATGGAAGAAAAGTTGCAAATGTCCGTCCATCTGGTTTAACGCCTGCAGATATCATCTCCTTGAACAAATTTGAAGCATCTTCCATAAACCCATGTTGCACCAGTCCAGCCATCATGCAGTTCCACTTAACCAAATCAGTTTGCAACATTCTATCAAACAGTTTGCGTGCATCACCCAACCATCTGCATTTAGAATACATGGAGACTAGTGTATTTGCAACATGAGGATCGAACTGTAACCCAGAAGTAACAGCAAGTCCATGAATCAAAGAGCCGAATCGAATCATTGCATCTGCTGAGCAGACAGAAAGAACGCAAGCAAACGTAACTGCATTTGGTATGATTCCCGAATTTCGCATCTCATTGAATGCTTTCAGTGTGCTACCCGACTCCCCATATTTTGCGAAACTGCTAAGCATCACGTTCCACAAAACACAATCTTTTTTAGACATTCTATCGAACAGTAGACGAGCATCCTGCAGATGCCCATTCTCAGCATACAGCTTTACTAACGCGCTACCCATGTACATATCCAGATCAAAACGCATGTCTAAAACATCATCTTGAATTAACTTTCCCAGTGCCACATTGTTCAACCCACCACAGGCTTTCACTACAGAAGGGAATGTGTATTTATCAGGAGAAACCCCACAAGTCCACATTTTGAAGTAGAATAGTAAGGCCAAATCAAAGCGACCCAGCTTATTAAGTCCTCTGATCATCCAATTCCAAGGCATGGTATAATGTAAAGGGACCTGATAAAACATTTTGACAGCATCCCTGAAGCTGTCACAGAGAACATACATCCCCAAGATCTTTGGCCCCAGCAGCCCATTGTCAAGTAATCCATGGAGTACGCACTGGGCATGAACTTGCTTCCCTTGCCTGACAAGATTCGACGTTCCAGAACATAGTTGCTGCAAGTTGGATTCAAGTCTGCTTACTATAGCCTCATCAACCCACTGGGATGATATGGCAAGAGAATGTGTTAGGCATGTGCTTGAGTTACTAACTTTGGACAACCCACTGATGCTAGGGAAGAAATGTTGGTGGAGCTGTAATTTATGAGGATGTATCTTAAGAAGAACGTAAGCATTGTGGCTAATGGTGAGTCGTCTCATGTTCACCATCTCACCTACAGTTGGTTTCTAAGCTCCAACCAGCCTCTTAACCAGTTTAGTCCCTCTTGGTATCACTGTAAAAACAGGGAAGAATTGAGGGCTGAACAGGAATTGGAAACAATAATAATTTGTTGGCTCACAATTACGAAAATGCTGAGAATTGAAACTGACTCAGAAAACAGAAATGCCTTAGGTTTGCGAACGTTTTTCCAAAGAAAATTATATTTCCTACTTCTATTTAAAATCTTACTATCCAAAGAAACTTATATTATAACTAGATAAATTTCCAGATGTTATATATATATATAAACAACAAATAGCTGTGTTCTCCTCTATGCGGCTGACATCAAGCACAATCTTATACAATAACTAACATGAAATATCAAAGCTCAACGCACCCAAATATAATTACATCTAAGTTTAAAACTACGAACTAGATAAACTCGAGATAATTCCAAATAGGACTCCAAATTTCATAAGGGTTATCAGCATTACATAAATCTGAGCTGAGGCACAAAGGTCGACAAGGAAGGACTGCAACAAGCTTATGAAAATGGCTAATTGATGTTCTAAATAAATGCACACATGAAAAGAGAAGTTTAGACAAGCAATTGCAATAAACTGGTGGATAGCTATCCATACAAACATCAATCAGACAAAAAACCAGTGTGCAGCTGAGAACTGACTATGTTACTAAAGACAAACTTCGTGTTTGGCGAACACACACTATGGTATAACTCTGCTAAAGAAGGCAAATACGAGCACCAGTTAGTTCTACTTCGCAAAGGCTGAAGCTTGATGAGCAGAACCTCGGAAACCTATATAGTATGAATGATGCTATTCTCGAATTGTCATCGCCATACAACCAGTCAATCATAATTATGCAAACTCTTGAGGCATCATGGAACAACAGGTCTAATATCACTTCAGGCCAAGAAGTTGGCTATCTAATAATTTTCAAAGCAAGTACCCTGGTAACTGAATAACCAGAACACCTTTTTCAACAATCGCATGACTCTAGAGAGCACTCTTCATCCCCACGAAGTTCTTGCTTATGAAATAGATACTTTGTGGGATGAACCTCATCATTCTCATTGTCTAAGCTGACTGCCTTGTTCGGAATGTGCTTGTGCCAAAATAATTTCACTAGACCCTGCGATGCCAGTATCCACGGTATGGTATTACCATTTCAAAGTTCCTAGCACTAAAATGTCAAAGTTAGACAGGGATGAATTCTCAGCCAAAATCCATCTGTCACATGTGAAGGTAACAAAGCTTTATCAAGAAGCTTCTCTATCATGAATAACAATAAAGCTAATAAAGCTTCTCTATCATGAATCATGATAAAGCTTATAATATCTTCACGTATCTCAGGTGGATATGATATTGATTACTGTCAAAATTTGTCATTTTAACACTAGAAAACTGACATGGCTGGAATTGCTGGATCTTGCGAGAGGATTCCGCAACAAGCATATGCAGAGAACGGAAAGGCCCATCGTGCAAAGTATCTAGTCCAAAAGCAAGGACTTAGAGGGGATAGAGATTAGAGAGGTTGCATCCATCATTAAATTAGTTAAATGAGATGTTCTATTTTTTTCCAGTTACTTGAGCCAATCAAGGTACTCAATTGATAGCCAATCTCTTCACCTAAAATTTAAGATCTTCCTACTTCAAATTAGGAGTTACAGGATTTAAGAGACCAACATACTTGCATTCAGGTACCGGATTTTACCATAAAAAGAAAGCAGATAACACACATTCGGTCATTCCTATGTAAATCTTGTCATCCAGCATCACAATACATAGCTGTTAGCAGTCATCAAGACTAGATAGGACAAGCAGAAGTTGTTGCAACGACAATGTAACTCGGTAAACTCTAGACAGGCATGAAAGCTCGAAACTTTGTCAAGATATAGACTAAAAGCGGGAAATAGTATTTATAATAAAAGATATGGGCACAATATGGAACCGAACTCTGATTTCGCTGACTTCCATGAACACCAATTCCTTATAACTGCCATGGGCAGAGCGAAACTAAGGTAGTTGCTACGCAAAAGGGCAGAGAACAGAGAGAAAGAGCAAGAAGCGTACCAATCCGTTGGCGTCATAGGTAGCAATGATCGAGCGGCCCCTCTGATAATCGAGCGTAGTAGCAGGTAATGTAACTCAAGTTTCTTCAGAGTAGAGAGAAGGAGCTCGTGTTGCGGTCAGCGTCAGACGAGTGTGGCCGGCGGCTGAGGTTAAGGATGGGAGGCTGGGACTACAGGAGGCCGTGCTCGGCGGCCGAAATGCCTGTTAAATTTTTTTTTTTTTTTTGGGTTCAGTTGTTTAGGTTCGCTAAACGAAATAAACGTTACTTATCATAAATGGTCACAAACCTATTCACTTTCTACAAAATAGTTACAATTCTTTAATTTTGCACGTGTTGGTAAAAAAGGTTTGAGCAAATAACGAAATAGTAAATCCGTCTAATTCCGTCCAAAACTATGTCCCAGATCGCCACGTCAGTGTAAATAATAATTAAAAAATGCGTTAGTTAGCCCACTTAATCCGAGACTCCAACTGGTTCAAACACCCTTACCCATCACCTCATGGCCTGATACGCACCCCTATAAGAATAGAAACCTTACCATTCACCTTAATTAATCATCCTCTGTTTCCTCCTTCCCCCTTCCCCCTTCCTTTGAACGAAGAAACCCTAAAATCCCAAATCCAAAATCAGCATAAGGAAAAGAAAACTCAGGTCGAAATGGGTTCCCTACCTACTTGCAAGTGTCAAGACAGAGTTGTTTTGCTAACATCATGAACAGAAGATAATTCGGGTAGAAGGTTCCTCCGCTGTAAGAGAAATTACTTGGTAAGGATTTTGAATTTGATTCTGATTTCTGTGTTCACCATAAGAAGATTTGGTAACCATGCTATTCTATTTCATTTTATGAAGAAATTATCCCACCACTGTTATTTCTTTGAATGGGTCGACCCTTCAGTTGAAGATAGGGCCAGAGCTGTCATAAATGGGTTGTTGAAGAAGATTAAGAACATGGAAAGAAGATCAAGGGAAGAGAGCATGTTGAATGAGACAAATTCTTTTTCATCGACGGCACGCAACGATGAACAATCTAGAAGGGGCAACCAAAGTGAAGATCTGTTTTCGCGGACAATTAATCTTGTTTATGTAGTCGTTTGTGTGATTGTAGGAATCGTTATTGGTAGATATGTGTAGTGTAGAACATGAAATCCTCCTGTAATTATGTTTCTGTTTTGTTCGAACTAAGTTTGCAGCATTATCTTTTATGGTCATATAGCTTTATTGACGATAACAACATGGTCCAAAAACTAATCAATAATAGACAGAATGGTCACAATGATTTGGTCATTGTAACAAAATGGTCACATAGAGAGACTGCAGTAAGAGTGACTTCAACAATAGAGACTTGTACTTGACGTTAAAACCTGAACATAAAACATCAAACCTGCATCTTTAAACATCCATATTGTAGATTACATTCACCAAACTGATTAGATCCTACTTGACATGGGTTGGCTTATCATGAAAGTTTCAACAAGCAATCGACATGTCACAAAAAAGGTGTTCACAAAAGTTGATCGAATCAACTCCTAAAAAAGTTCCATGTCTGCTGGTTCTTCAACTACTGGTTATGCATGCCACACCCCTACCAGTGGTACCACGACCCCTTCGAACTGTGACATTCATCCTAGGTAGGTTCTCAAATGGTGGTACAAATGCTGGAGTAGGCATGAAGGTTGAGCCCTCGGCACGCTCACCATCTTAAAGAGATGCACATATTGGAGAGCCTCCCTTGTGCGAAGGAGAGGCTGTCATGTGTTGAGGAGATATTGCCGATGGATTTGCTGCTTATCGCTAGAATTCTAGTAAAAATATAACAATGTCAAGATGGTAGTATCATTTTCATTAACCATAAACATATTTTAGACGATTAATGTTAAAGAAAACATGGGCAGATTCTCACCTTGTTGTGGAATCGGCTATTGTGTCCTCTCTCGTGGCATACTGTGCATGTCATCTCGCTTCCACCCTTTGACATGGCTTTGTATGCTCTTCCCCGCTTATCTTTCTTTGCTTTCTCCACCTCCCATGCTTCCTGGCGCCTTTTTTCTGTCTAGGACCCATCTTCTTCTCTTGAAATATAGGCGATTCAAGCTCAATGCAATCATTATGAATCCATTGACTTGAATCATTGAGAGGGCGGACAACAAAAGAGTATGCTTCTTGCATGTGTCGACACGGTAACAGTCATCCATATACCGCTCTGGAGGATCGTTGTTCAACTTCATGCATGCAATGGCATGTTGACAAGGGATGTCATTCAGCTGCCAACTACCACAAACACATGTTCTATTCCTCATATCCACAACATATCTGCCTCTATGTGATTGCACCTGATATTCCATGTTCCCATTGAATGTAGGGAAGCAAAAAGCAACCCACTCCTTGTACATTATCATATCCTGTATCGGCTTTGGGCAGATACGAAATCCTTTCTCTTCTTGACGCTGCATCAGCCTCTTTTTTACAGCAACTCTCATTACTTTGCCAAATATGTCCTCCAAGCAAGAGAGGATTGACATGTCTCTCGACTACAGAATATACTTGTTGAAGTTTTCACATTGGTTGCTAACTCCCATGTCACATTTGTTGTTTGTTCTGTAGAACGCCTTGCACCACTGAGTTCTATCTCGTTCCATTAGCCATTGATGCGGTGTTTGATCACCAACCTTGTAGCTTTCCCCAGGCGTCTCTATCTCCTCCATGACTGCCAAATATTATGCCCTATAAGTCGAACCGACGGGACTGTAGAAAAGGTCCATGCGCCTCTTGGACCTAGTGAACTTGCCACTAAAGTTCACGAACATATGGCGGACACAGTAACGATGCTCGGCGTTTGGGTACATCGAGTCATCACGTTCATAAAACCCTAGCATCCAAAAAACAAACATATATCACATATCACATTATACAGTAA